TTTTTTGATCATCTGAAGTCATATGTGCAGGGTTTGGGGGTCACTTCAGTTCTAGCTCCAGCACCCCTAACACTGGGCACAGGAACCAAGACTAGGAGGTCTGTGTCTCAGAAACATACCAATATTTGTGATTTCACAATGTCTCTATCCAATGTGCTGTCCTTCAGTTGACGACTTCCTGTTCTAGCTGGTGTGTAACTGGGGTAAAGGACAGAATGACTTCCTATAACCATCTTTAGTCTACCAGTCGGTTATCTCAGCCCTGTTTCCATTTCCTAAAAGCTTATCTTAGGAAAATCAAAAGCCTCAGAAGATTTTTTTTTTCTTCTTTTGATCTCTGCCGTCCTGTCCCTTCCCTGTGCCAATGATCACAGCCTAGTGTAGTCATTGACAGGAGAGAGAGGACCGGGCTAGCAAAAGGGAACATGACAGAGGAAATACAATAAAGAACACAGTGTGTGCAGCAGGCTCATCGCTGTTTTGAAGATTTGAAGACATGAATGGCTAAGTCCTGGAAGTCCAACGAGGCAGCTACCTTTAGTATTCCATTCTACAGTGAGGAATTTGATTGGGCAGAGACAAATGGAGGAGCTAAGACCAAGGCAGGAAGCCTGGGTCTGGAGCAGTGGTTCTCAAGCTCTAGGTTGTCACTCCTTTGGGGAAGGGAAGAAGGTTCAGACAACCCTTTCTCAGGGGTCTCCTAAGACTATCAGAAAACACAGATATATACATTGCGATTCATGACAGTAGCAGAATTAGTTATGAAGGAGCAATGGGCTGATTTTCTGGTTGTGGATCATCACAACATGAGGAACTGTATTAAAGGGTCACATTCTTGAGAACCACTGCTCTAAAGTCTACATTCTACCCCTGCTAGGGCAATTTCTCATGAACGAATGTTCTGGCAACCATCCCTTCAGGATCTGTAGAAGAAGACGTGTTTAAAATATTATGACGGAGCCATCCTATTTCTGCTAAACGAACTCATGTTATGTTGAGATTTAATTTTGATGCCTATGAGACACCTGTCAATCCTCTCCCTGCATGTCAAAAGAAATCAGGAAAGAAAAGAAAGTCCTGGGAGTATTGAAAACCAGGGCCTGCCATCCCAGCATGACTGTCTCAACCCATATTGGCCTGTGGCTGTTTCCTCAGTCCTTTCAATAGTGGATTACAGTCGGCAACCCTGGAAAGGTTGCCGACTTCATGTGTCTGACTTTGCAGACCTTCAGTGGATCCACCCATTCTGAGAATAACCTTTGAATGAAAAGGCATTCTGCAGTCTATGGGGTATGGGGGTGGGGTGGGAATACTGTACATATCAATCAAAATGTGCATACCGGTTTGTTAAGCACATTACTCGGGGATGTACTGGGAGAAACCAGAAGGGAAGTTAGTCTTCTAATTTCTGTATCTTTAATATCCAGTTTAAAAAAAAAACAAAAAAAAAAACAAAAAAGAAAAGAATTGAGTCTGGCCTGTTCCACCGAGACTCAGCCCTGGGCCATCAGTGGTATCCCTTATTAGTAAAGTAAAAGACAAAATTAGCCAAAAAATGCTAGATGTCAACAGAGGACTTTGTTACTTGTGCATTTGTTGTGTAGTGTGCACTGGCCTCCAAGAGCTGATTAGAGGTCGACTCCCCTGGTTCCTGGACAACTTGGAGGTTACATGAATGATTCTCAGTGTCTCATGGGATTCAGGCAGAAAATTTCAAAGTTCTGTTTGGCTCTCAGAACTCTTCACCTTATGGTCCAAGATCCACAGTCCTTGGGTTTTCTCCCCTTTCAGAAGAGAATTTAACACCATATCTCAAAGAAAACTATGGAGTTCCTTGTACCTCTAGAACATCAGTTCTCAACATGTGGGATGCCACTGGTCAGATATGAGATATCCTGCAGGACAGATATTTACATTACGATTCATATCAATAGCAAAATTACAGTTATGAAGTAGCAATGAAATCGTTTTATTGTTGGGATACACCACCACATGAAGCTCTGTATTAAAGGGTCATGGCATTAGGAAAAGTTAAGAACTACTGCTCTAGAATATCTTGGGACAGCAATTACCTCAGCTTCTCACCTCTCTAATTAGGGAGCAGAGAGAAAGCTTGGGTCAAGGCCAAACATTACTCTCTCTTTGAAGAAAACACAGAGATGGTTCCGGATAAACTCTAAGCAAGTCAAGGCTCTCTACAAGAAGTCATTGTACCAGCAAGTGCAAACACTGCCTAGATTATCATTTGTGGTTAGTTGGATAAGTTCCACAAGTGTGACTATTAAAAATGAGTAAGTAAGCCAAGGAGAGACACCCAAAGAGTGTTGGGAAATAATAAGAATACCTTCTTAGTTTTCATTTCCGCTTTCCTTTCCTCTTACATTGTGATAACATAGCTGATCCTCTCTATTTATTCTTATTCACTTTCTCTATGACTGATGGTTTTACCTTGCAATCTATTGCTGTTACCAAGTATTAGATTCTAGACTGTATTCATAGGTTTCCAGATGTACGTGCGAAAGTGTGTCTTGGTTATTTGCAGTGTCCTTGAGCCTTAGTATTATACTACACCTGTCAGTAGCTTCTGTTTTGTTTTGTTTTGTTTTGTTTTGTTTTGTTTTGTTTTGCTTTTTCTGTTGCAGTGTTGGGAATCCAATCTGGAGCTTCTCACATATTAGCCAAGCTCTACTCCTGAGTCGCATCCCTAGGTAAAGAAGCTATTCTTGATATAACTTCCATTATGAGCGGACATCTGTGACTAAACAAATGACATCCATGTAAAAACATGAGTGCAGGTCAAGCATTATAGAAGACCATATTTTAGCCTGTGCTTTAGAGTGAAGCCCTGTTGGGGCTTTGGGAAGTAATTAAACAGTGAGCCTCAGCTTTTCAACTTTTCATGAGCCGCTGTTTCTCTACACGCTTCTGATGGAATCACTGAATCTGTTCTCCCACTGGGAACGGTAGAGGGAGATGCTGGTTTTGCTTATTTGACTTTTTAAAAATAAAGCTCCTTCTAAATTAATTCATAAGGAAAAGAGAAAAAAAATCATGAGACAGTAAAAGTTGACCAAAGGGGGGAAAAGTGTATTGGCAACAAAGCAAGCTCTGAATTTGCGTTCTGTACTGGGCATACTCAAAGCCACGAATATTCTGTTAAACACAAGTGTGTAAATTGGAAGAGATGTGAGCCAAACGTTTTCATCATTCTTTGAATTCAAAGAGGAAAATCCAAGAGCAACTACAGAATGCAGAAAAAGGTAAGAGCCCTACAGAGGGACTGTTTTAAAAGTATATCCAGCTGGGACAGGGTGGCACACACCTTTAATCCCAGTACTTGGAAGGAAAATGCAAATGGATCTCTGTGAGTTAGAGGCCAGCCAGGTCTACATAGTTCTAGGCTAGCAACAGGCCTTATAGAGAAATTCTGTCTCAAAAATAAATAAATAAGTAAATAAATACATTAATTAATTAAAGAAAGAAAAAAGTACCCACTTTCAAAAATAGTTTTCAGCCCACATCTGTCTTTTAAACGTACAACTGATTTTAAAATATTCACCAATTGGCAGTGCCCTCCTTGAAAGCATCTCCTTATGTTGAAGACCCTCGCCTTCAACAAACACCACAAAATTAGTAAAGGTCAATGCTCCAACAAGCAGGGGTTCACAGGAACATTCCCAATAAGCATACATAGTCATACACAACATACTATGAATTGATTTTAAAACCAACTGAAAGAAAACCATCCAAAAAGAATATGAAAAGAAAAGCAGTCAATCCAGACTACAGGAAAGCAAAAGAAATGGAAAACAGTAATGGAGGAATTACAGTTCGGCACAGAAAAGAAAAAGGAAAAAAAAAAGAAAGGTAGTGTTAGTATAAGTCTGAACCCGGTGACGTCATATTCAGGGGCCAGCGACACCTACGTTGCTGAGACAACCACTCCCAGAATTCACCTACCTGGCTCACCTACACCTGGGAAGTTACACACGTCATCACTCACTTAAATAGTTGGGACCACCCCAACCTCTCTCTCTTCCTCTTCTCTTCACTCGCCATCTTCCCGCTCCTCTCTCCCACTCCCTTCCCCAAATAAACCCCTTCCCTTGGAACCGGATCGGCTTTTGTGTTGTCTGTTCAAACCGCGCTCGAATTCTAACAGGTAGAAAAAACTTAAAAGACATTAAGGGGCCTAAAGAGATGGCTGAGTGGTTGAGAATGCTTGCTGCTCTTTTAGAGGACTGGAGTTCAGTCCCCAGCTTCCATGCTCCAGCTCAGGAGCGCTAACAATCTCTTCTGGACTACTTTTGTGTACACACAAACACACACAGAGACAGACACACACACATGCACACAGACATGCATAGGCACACACACTCATACACACATATCCACACACATATATACACGCATGAACACACACACAAGTAAGTAACAAAAGAAATCATTCTTAAAGACATTAAGACCTTGTAATATAGCATTAGTTTCAGAATCAATCAAAAAAGACTGAAATGCAGAGAATGGAGACACATTGAAATGGGCTAAGGATTTTCTGTTACAGTAAAAAAACCAATGTTCGTGTTTCAAAGACTAAGGAAGTCAAAGAAGATTCAGTTTCTAGGAATCTACAACTGTACATAACACCACTATATTACAGAAAATGAGATTTATTTACTAGCAAGCAATAAGAGAAAAAAAAAACAGATATATTCCACAAAGCAATGACAATTAGCCTAGCAACTGGCTTCTTGTCCCAACAATGGAAGTCAGAAGACATTGGGATGAGATTTTTCTATAACCTAAGAAAAAAAGAACTCAAAAACTAGAATTTTGTCTCTGAAAATTTATTATTCAAAGATAAGAATAGAATAGATGGCGGGAGCGGGAGCAAGCACAGGGTGGAAGTGTGGCCGGCCTTAGGTTCTTCAGAGCCGCCACCGTGCTCCGTACTGCTGAGGTCCCGGATACAGACGGTGACCGGGAAGGCTGATCCAGCCGTTTTGCTGGGCGCACTACCTTCGAGATACGTACCCATGTTGGAAGATGCCAGCTACTGCATATGAAAGAGTAGTTTACAAGAACCCCTCGGAGTACCACTACATGAAAGTCTGCCTAGAGTTTCAAGAACATGGAGTGGCACTGAATGTAGCCCAGTTCAAACAGCTGCTTGTTTCAGCCCTGAAAGACCTGTTTGGGGAGGTTGGTGCTGCGTTACCCGTGGATGTTCTCACCTATGATGAGAAGACTTTGTCAGCCATCTTGAGAATATGTAGCAGTGGTCTGGCCAAATTATGGAGTTCTTTGACCTTATTTGGAGCCTATAAGAGTAAGAAATGTGCCTTCAGAGTGATTCAGGTGTCTCCCTTTCTCCTTGCATTATCTGGCAATAGCAGGGAGCAAGTATTGGATTGAATACTCTTACAGTTCCAGATACGTCCACTCTCCACAGTGTCTTTAGGTGTCTACATAGTTGGAAAACAGAGCAGGCTAAAGCCCCTGTTGATGACATTTGGAGATGCTGAAGATGTGGAGAGGGCTTCAGAGAAGACTGTGGCAACATCACATGGTACCAACAGGGCAGTGTTTTCAGTATGCGCACATGAAAGTTGGAGACCGAGCTGAACTCAGCAGAGCCTTCACACAACAGGATGTGGCTACCTTCTCAGAGTTAACGGGAGATACCAATCCTTTGCATTTAAGTGAAGATTTTGCAAAACACACCAAGTTTGGAAGGACAGTTGTGCATGGAGTTTTGATAAATGGACTTATTTCAGCACTCCTGGGCACTAAAATGCCTGGGCCAGGCTGTGTGTTTCTTTCTCAGGAAATTAAATTTCCTGCCCCTTTATATATTGGAGAAGTGGTTTTAGCATCTGCAGAAGTGAGAAGGTTAAAGCAGTCTGTTGCTGTTGTTGCAGTGTCCTGTTGTGTGGTAGAAAGTAAGAAGACCGTTATGGAAGGCTGGGTTAAAATTATGGTCCCAGAAGCTCCTAGATCCTGAGATACAAGTTTAAAGTTACATGTTCAAAAACCTGTGCTCTTGTTATCACATGACATTGGGGAGGTGGGCTGTTGCTCTTCATGAAGTAATGCTGGTACACTCAGAAGCCTGTGTGGAAGGGGAAAGTTCCAGATTGGCACCTGGTTTGCCCAGATTTAAATCTGTGCAAGATCTCATCATCTATTGAGGTTTGAATTTTTTTCCAATTAAAAAACAATTGAGAGGAGCTGGAGAGATGGCTTATCAGTTAAGATCACTGGCTGCTCTTCCAGGGGATCTGGGTTCAATTCCTAGTACCCACATGGTGACTCACAACTGTATGTGACTCCAGTCTCAGGTGATCCAACACTATCTTCTGGGCTGTGCTAAAACTACATGCACATGGTATACAGACATACATGCAGACAAAATACAAATACAATAATAAAATAAAAATCTTTTTAAATTGAAAAAAAAAAGAATAGAATAGATATCCTAAAATGAAAAGCAGTCATGTATTGGACAGACTATGTCTATAAAAATTCCTGAATAAGAACTCCCTAACAAAAATATAAACTCCAGTCACAATGTCTGGGATAAAAAGAAAAATGTGAGTAAAGAAATTAGTAAAATTCTGGATATGTGCAATCAAATTATAATATTAGTTAGAATAATAATGATATCATCTTTCTGTGCCAACAACAATAACAGAAGTGAAAACTAAAAGGTATATTGGGATAGCAGTACACAGGAAGTAACTGTAGTCGTAGTGTTTATAGCATATATTATGTAAAACAATGGTAAACATACAGATTAGTTTTAGCATTCTAAGTTTGTATTCACATAAAAAAGTGTCCAAGGTAGCAACTAATACAATACATAAGCAGTAAGAGGCACGCATGCATGCATGCACATGACAAAGCTTGCTGTCATGAAGCTATATACCTCTATGGAGAGAAAGCAGACAAGTCCCTTGCCTCTCCCTCCCTCCTGTATAATAACAGGGCTGTCTAATCCTCTTATTTGCTGTAATGGCCAGTATGAACCGTAGCTCTTGCCATCTCTGCAACTTATCCAATTACACAGTTCTTGGAGATCTAACTCAAATCTGTGATTTCCTTTCTAAGTCCCATAAACATGCAGTCCTGGGTATTATATGTATCCGGTGCTTAATTAATCACATATGAGGTACTATGAACTATAATTTGTGGGTTTAAGATTTCAACCTGCTGACTTATTTGTATCGTTAATATGTTTTAACACAAAACTGAATGTCATGTTTATGAGTTTGGGATGGGTTTAAAAATCTGAAGAGCCACTGTTTTGTTGTATTTTGGTTTGTTTCCTTCTGTCTTCTAAACTACTTGCTGAATTGGATATATTAAAGTCAGCTTGCTTCATGCATTTAGGAAAGAGAACATCCATGAACACAGACTCACAAAATACAAAATTATCCTATGAGCAACCATACAAACATGTCTCAGTGTCTTTATTTTGTGTTGCTAAAAAGAGAGCATACAGAACGCATTCTGTGATCATGTTTGTATATGTCAGACTTTACTTGAAACTAAGAACTCAGGAGAAGGCCAGAATTAAGTGTTGGGTAGGATCAGGGTCTTAGGTGTACAGCTGAGGGTGAAACATTGATTCCAGGCACCTTGGGCAATACTTATGAGGGTCTTTAGAGACTTGAGAGTTGACAAATCTGCTACAGCTAGAGAAGATGAACTATGACCTAGGTACCGAGGAAGCAAATGGCTTTCTAGAAGCTGAAGTCATCTGAACCAAATCACTTTGCTGCATATTCATTTGTATCCTAACTAGCCAGATACCATTATTGAAAAGAAGCATGAGAAATGTCCTTATAAACGTGTGTGCTGGAGAGGTTTTTTGCTCTTAATGATGGTTAACCTTCATTGCCAACTCGATTGAATTGAGAGATATTCTAGGGCGTTGTGATGGCTAATTTGAACTGTCAACTCAACACAACTCAGAATTACCTTAGAAAAGAGTCTTAACGATGATGACTTATCTACATCAGGTGTGGGGCAAGTGTAACCAGGGAGAACGAGTCTGGAACAAGAATGAGGTAGGGAAGTGTCCAAATCCTGAAAGTCTCTTCTTGGGACCAAAATCTCATCTTCTGGCAGGAGTAAGGATGAATCCCTCCCTATTCTCAGCCTGCATGCCCCACCTCTACCATCCTTAAGATAGTCACGTAGCCCTGACGGCCAAATTACAGGTATAAGCACCTGGAATCCCTCTTCATTCAAATAAAGGATTTCAGGTACCTCAGCCCCAGCCAATAATGTACACTCTCCTTGAAAACCCCTACCCACTCCCCAAGGTTTATATAGCCCTTGTTAATCCTGAATAAAGAGAGCTGCTGTTTCACAAACTATAGTCACTTCCCATAATAGAAAAGAACAGTAACACTGAAACACTCATCTCTGGCACTCACTTGTTGGGACAGACAGAGATCCTGTGAACTCGGTCTCCCTCTACCTGTCCCCCTCCCCCTCCCCTCTCCCTCCCCCTCCCCCTCCCCCAAGCTTCATTCCTTTCATTCCTGTCCCGCTTGCAAAGGTACCTGAATATCCCAAAGGCAGAAGCAGAGGTGGGTCCACAGTTTGGACTCTGGTCACACCTGTGAGGTTTATCTTGATTGTTAGCTGGTAGGAAGACCCAGACAATCATGGGTGGCACCATTCCCTAGGCAAGGGTTCTTGAACAGTCTAAAAAAGGAGAAAGCTACCTGAGAGCAAGCAACAAGCAGGGGTCCATACATGATTTTTTCTCTCTGCCCTTTATTGTCTTGATTTCATGACAGTAGTAGATTACTGTGTATAAATAGTAAATAAATCCATTCTTCCCAAGAGTTTGTTGTTACTATTATGACATTTCATTACAGCAACAGAATGAAACTAGAGTAGACATTAAGGAGACACGCTGGGGCATGTCTGAGAGATTCTTTTCAGAGAAGTTTAAGGAAAGGAGACACACATTGAATGTGGGTGGCAACTTTCTATGGGCTGGGGTCCTAGACAGAATGAAAAACCAAAAGAGAAAGCCAGCTAAGTACCACCATTGTCCTACTCTTGGCTCCCTAATCTGTCAACCCCCGAGAAGTTTCATCATCATGCACCTGCTGACGTGAACTCCACCATGCCTCTCTTGCCATGATTCACTACACCCTCTCAAAACAAGAGCCAAAATAAAGCATCTTCCCTTATATCATTTGCCAGGTGATTTGTCATCACAGTGAAAAAAAAGTAGTATACTAGAATTGTATTTTCTTGCCCAGATCATTTCTTGGAGTGAAAGCACAGCTAGTTATCCGTTATGTAAAAAATGAGAATGGGAAATGGTTGGGGCGAACAGAGAACACTAAAGTCTGACTCTCTTCAATGGCCCCTAGTCAGCAACCTTCTCAAACTATCATGTATAAGAGAACCACCTAGAAGTCCTTTGGAAATGCAAATCTGTGAACCTCATCATTGGAGAGTCTAGTTAGAAGGCATTGGAGGGGTGCCTTAGTTATGGTTTTGCAGCTGTTAAGAGTCTACCATGACCACAGGAATTCTTATAATGGAAAACATTTCATTGGGGCTGGCTTGACAGTTTCAAAGGTTTAGGTCATTATCTCCATAGTGGAAAATGTGACACATAGTGGAAAATGTGACACTATGCAGGAAGACATGGTGCTGGAGAATGAGCTGTAAATTCTACATCTTGATCTTCAGGGAGGCCTACCTTGAGTGTATGAGACTGCAAGGTCACACCTCCCAATAGTGCCACTCCCTATGGGCCAAAGATTCAAACACATGAGTCTATGGGGGACATTCCTATTCAAACGACCGCAGAGGAGTCTATGGGGGACATTCCTATTCAAACGACCGCAGAGGTGTTTATGAATACAAATTTATCAGGCAGCCCAAGGTATATGGTACAAATCCATCTTTCACAGCGGAGCCAGGAAGGAAATCTACAATGGAAAGTGATCCCTTAAACTGCTAATAAACTGATAGATAACAGAATTTTAACTCAGTCCACATTATCATAATTTTCTGTGCACTCCGTACATCAGGAGGTAGTATCAGGTCTTATCAGGTTGGTGGGAAGAATTCAAAGAACTTGTTTATTGAAAAGCAGCACTGGTAACAATGTAGAGCCTAAATTCCACTCTTCCAAAATTATCGTAACAAAAGGAAGCAGAGTGTCCCCTTGATGGTGTGGAATGAGGAGGGACACCAGCTGAAGCCCCAAAATAAATAAATGCTATCCTGGGTTTCATCAGGGCCTTTCTTCCTGACATTTGCCTCCATTGGACTTCCATGAATGTGCAGCTGCTCTGGCCATGCAAAACTGTTTCACAGGGAGAGAACTAAGAACCTGACATGTTAGAAAAGCTGCTGCTCTTAATGTAAGACCTGAAACTATGAACTCCCGAGAGCAAACCAAGATAGAAGAAAAGTCCTAGGCTTTCTGAAGAAGGCTCCAATGGCACAGGAATAACCACACTGACTGGCAACCAGAACTGCATGAAACAAAATGGCTTTGTACAGCTAAGGATCAGCAGCAGCAGAATAGTAGGCTATCAAATAGAAGAAAACCTTTGCCAACTATGTGTCAAACATGGGCCTGGCATCTAGCATATGTACAGCATTGCAAAAATTGAATGTAAAAATAAAATATACAGTTCTCAAAATAAATGTTACTATCTAACAAAAACAAACATCTGTGTGTTGTGTGTTTGAGAGTGCACACACATGTGACATGGCACACATGTGGACATCAGAGGACTACTTGAAGGAGTCCTTCTGTTTTTCTCTTTCCATCCTATGGGTCCCCAGATTCAGAGTTCATGCCATTAAATTGGGTAGCAGGCACCTTTAACTATGGAGCCATCTCACCAGCCAGCCCATGCAAAGGCATCTTTAAAGACTAACCACTTCTAAGCAACCAAGAAGAATTTGAATGAACAACGAGAAAGAGGTTGTTATTGTCCCTCCCATTAATGAAGCTCAGGCATCCATTTTTGCTCACCAAAGTCATGACTGAAGTAACTGAATCTTAAGTGAGGATGGATGATCAAGGGAAAGAACCTGTTCCTGAAAGGGGGTGGGGGGAATAAATATGATAGTCACGTGAGGAAAAGAAAACCATTGCAATCCTAAGAAAATAAAGTGACATCGATGATGATGATGACAACTATCATGATGACGACCAAGATGACAAGGATGATGATGACAATGATGATGATGACAAGGATGATGATGATGATGGTGAAGATGATGCAGATGATGATATGATGACAATGGCAAAATGGCGGCAGCAGTGGTAAACTGTCCCTTTTTGAGAATTTCTTTATCCCTTTTTCCCAACTGCCTGTGCTGCAAACATACAGCATGACTTATGAAGTTCCTTATTCCCTCAGAAGAGGGACTACACTGGATGAGCCAC